TCCTGTGTGGGGCTGGGCGTGCGGCACGTGCGGTCTGCACTGCTGGGGTCGCTGCTTCCGGTTCTCACCACCCCTGCTGTCTCCACAGCTCTCAGCTGCGGGCTCTCCACCTACCAGCCCCACAAGAGCAGGGTGGTTGGAGGAGAGGATGCGATCCCCAACAGCTGGCCCTGGCAGGTGAGCCCACCGCGCTGTCCTTGCTTGCCTCCTACCTTATTCTTTTACCATCACTCCTTTGCACTCCACTCTGTGGTCTCTCATGCTAGCAAAGATGAGGAGAGGTAGAAACTCAGAACACAGCAAGGCCATTTCTCTGCCTTTGCCTAGCAGTGGGCCCTGGGCAAGAAGGGCCTCCTCAAGCTTAGCTCAGGTAGAAGCTGCTCCACTCTACTACCAAGAAGGACAAATTCACAATCATTCTTATTCCACTAGCCAATCACGTGCTAGCTCATGGATTTGTCATTATTTTATGAATAATTCATCAGCATTTATGTAAATGTTCCCTGCTTTAAGCAACCTATCAGTGCAGTTTATTCAAATTAATGCTCAACCACAGGACAATCAACGTTATCACTGGATATAAATGCTTCTTACCTTGACAGAACCATACGGATAGCAAGACTAAAATATTAGATGAGGCACAGGCACAAATTAGCACCATGTTACTGATCAAACTTTCAACAAAAATGGGTGAAATTTATAATGGACATAAATATGGTAAAAATTTTCTCCTATCTGGCATAATCGGAGCTGAGCAATTGAAAAGTTGATTATAGAGAAATTAATTTTTTTTTTTTGTGGAATCGGGGATTGAACGAGGGCCCTTGCGCTTGCCAGGGAAGCACTTATTCCACTGAGCCATCTCCCTGGCCCCTGAGAAATTAATTTAAATCATATATAGAGGTTTTCAATGTGTTACTTTAATTTAGAACATGTAAGTATACACACATTCACTGATCTTCTGAATTGCTATGCAGTTAAGGCTGGTTTTGAATTCACTATGGTACCCAGGCTGGCCTCAAACCCACAGCGATTCTCCTGCCTCAGCCTCTCCAGTGCTGGGATTGCAGCCACACACCACCTTGTCCAACTGGATCTTTTGAATCCTTAGCAGCCTTTCTCCCATACCACATCATCTGCACATCCATTTCTTTAAAGGACCAATAACTCTCAGGCACTCATGGAGCAGCCTGAGTGACTTTGTCACTGTCCCCTCCTTTCCCCACTCTTTCATGGACACCTATGTCAGTAGCGAAAGCCCAGAGCCAGGCTTTCACGTTGCTCACAGCCTCACAGGATGTTTGCTCTGGGGTGTAGAGGAAGGGCCCCGGCCCTCAGCTACACCTCCCATGGCAGGGCTGCCCTGTGCTGAGAGCCAATCACTGAGGCCTCCACTGTCTTCTTCACCAACCGCATCCTCCCTTTGGAACCAAGTGCCTCTGCTGGTCTATCTATGTCCTGACCTTGGGGGCCAGGGGCAGTCAGTCCTGGAAGACTGCCCACCCCGATGGCCCTGTACCCCTAGGGAGACTGCTTTGATTTTTGCAGGTGGGCAATAATAAATAGGCAAGTAGAAAGAGGAGGACAGGCACTATGAATATAGAATGCAAGATAGAACTGTGGATTTCCAGAAACCCCATGAACTCTGAAGGGGACCCCAGACATGTGTTGTACTGTCTGGATCTTGGGCTCTACTTCCTGAAGAGCTGCAGTTACATTATGACAATTATCTGGGATAGAAAGTGCAACGTGTGTGAATCATGCTGCAGGTGCAACCCTAGGCAGACTGTGTGGGGGCATGAATCCCAGGCACCTTTCTCATCAGTTCCATGTGCATGATCGCAGGAAGTTTGGCAGACCTAGGCTAAAGGAAACAAATATTCCGAGAGATTAGAGCACATCTGACCAAAGCATGAGCATCAGAATGGAAAGGCAGATGGGGAGGAGCCACTTCCCGACCCCATTTTTCAGGCATTGGAATAGCAATTATAACCAGCTAGCCTTTGGAGCTGGAAACTGTCAGCAGGGGTAGAGATTGGAGCCCCCCCTTTTAATGTGGAACCTATATTACTGTTACTTTATTATGCTTTTGCTTATGCTGTATTTTCTGGTGGGTATTCAAGACCAAGTTAAAAAGAGACCTGTGTTAACCAAAATTAACCTCCTGCTATCTATCAAGGCCAGCCAGGGCTCCTCGGGCAGTACTTCTGGACCCATGTAGAGAGCCTCTCAGCTATTCTGTGTCAGCCCCAGGATGATTCACTCTTGCTTAACAGTGTGGCTTCCCATAGAAGCATGGCTGGTGGCTCCTCTTAACACAACAAACATTGGTTGACTCTTGGTTCCAACACTCTCCCCACTCAGGAGGTTGGGGGACTCTTCAAAGTCCTATAGAAAAGCTCCCCTCAAGTCCTGGGTCCTTGTTGACCTTGGAGAACCAGGGCTAAAATATTAGCTGTCCTCCTAGCCCAATTGCTTTATTTTATTTATTTATTATTATTTTTAATGTATTTAGTACAGGGTCTACAGCGTCTCACTACATAGCTTGAACTCCTAGTGACCCTCCTGTTTTCAGCCTACCAAGTGCTGGGATTACAGGCACACACCACCATGTCCATTCTCAGTCGCTATCTCAGCATGTCCCGAGGGCAGGGCTGGCACTGCATGCTGGCGATCAAACCCAATCCCTGGGGGCTGGTGAGATGGCTCAGTGGTCTAAAGTACCTACTTAGAACAAGCTTAGC